TATCGCAAATTTTTACAAATCGTGTGCTTTCGCAGAAAAAAATCACTAACATTGTATGTCTAAAATATTGTATTTTCAAAATAAATCGATCAAATTTGAAAGAAGTAGAAAAACAATTTCAACTCTTTAATTTCATTAATTACCGATCATAATACTCTCTCTCTCTCTCAATATTAGGTTTGTTCTTTGTGATTAAAATGGTGTACACCTTAAAATAAAATACACCTATATATTTAAAGTGACGAAAGGAAACAGAACAATTGCGGAATATGTAATTTTATGAATATGTAATAAATCTGGCTAACTGTATAATTTTAAATAAAGAATATATCTCAATAATCTTAAACAAAGAATATATTTAAAGTTAGATATGTTTAAAACGGGTTCAATCAATTCAGCATTAAAAAATTATCGCAAGATACTTCTAGCCACCAAATGTCAGTGGCAGAAAAAACAAAGTAATTTTATCTAGCGTGGGTGGACTCATTGTTAGACCAGACCGCTATGTCTTTGCGTGAAAGGTTGACGCATGAAGGAGCGGAAAGCTGTAGAAGAGGGCGGAGGGTAAAGAAGAGAAAATCAACCCGCATGTGCTCGTACGCACTTGAAAACAAAAAGTACTTTCGGCTATGCGGAGGTGGGAATCATAAAATGCACCGAGCGGCAGCGACGGCGGCGGCCCTTCTCGGCCAAATGCAACTCTGAAAAGCTACGAGAAATGTTTGTAATTGGGATCGTTGGCCCGTCGTGCTCTGTAGACTCTGCGCGTTCAAAAGAGAAACGGAGAAAGAGAGCGCACTCCATTCTTGCTCGAGTACGCGCGGATCCGTATAGGTGTACTTTTGCGATACGCGTTGACGTTTTATTTTGTTAGAGCACCATACATTTAGCGCATGAATTTATAACGTAAGATACTGCCGTTTATAACGTAAGTAAATTTTTTTAAAAACAATTTAATATGGTTACACTAAATAAACGATTATTAAGTAACAGTTCAACATTGAACAAAATATGAAGAGAAAGAGAAAATATTTTAACGAAAAATCATAACTTTTTATATATCATTAATATATAAATTATTAGAGCAAAGGATCACTAAAATTCTACTATGCACTTGAATTTAATGAACCGATATTATTACAAGTTCTTCTTATTTTTATATATTATAACGTGATAGTAGTTTTTCCAAGATCTTTTATACTGCTGGTTGCGGTAATAAAGTATTCTCATGAAAGAGCGATCACCGATAATTCACCTTCAAGTATTTCCCACTTAATGACGAACATCGTTAGCGTCGGGCGCGCCAACGTGTGTCCATCAATATTTCATAAATCTCAAGTAAAAGCGCCAAGTGTTTACCGCATCCTAAGCAACTAAGCGAATCCTCGATCTCGTTCGCCGGTTAGCCGTAAGTGTGTTCCCCGCCGGCAAATTTGCATTGAATTGAATTTCAGATTCGGTCGCGCGGCTTCACCACAATCGAGCCGCCATCGAGGACCCCCTTCGAACCCCCTCCGTGTCTTTCTTCAATCTGCGCGAAATCAAATGAGACGGTATACAGGGTGAACCACGTAATTTAACCATCCCAATCATTCGCCACCGTGAAGATAATTTAAATTTATTTATCTTGTTTTTATCTCTTGAATAA